GCATGTACACTTTGTAAAAATAAAAAGTTTGACATAATAACATACCAAATATGAGAAAAAAGTACGTGAAGCTCTCTTTCGATTTATATTTATTAATATATCCGATCATGATCCCAATGAAATAAATGGGAAATCTTTCAAATGTCGATTAAGGATTAATGTTAAAAACTGCAAGAGAGGAATATTGAGTTTTATCAATGAGAAAAGTTTGTTCATTTGTTTTCTAAACAAATTTTATGAATTGACATGTCATTAAATCAAGCTTCTCATTAAAATGTAATACTTCTGATACATAATTTCTGTAGGACATTAGAAGAATTAAATAAAAATAAATTTTCGCATTAATAATGTTTATAATCATACATAATAGAAACACAAGAATTCTGCAATTATGATAACAACAAATGCTTTCTTTGCTTAATAGTTTATTTTTGCAAAATAAGTTGACATGTACAATGAAATAGCTTAGCGGTAGAAATAAATATCTGTAAGGAAAATCCTCTGTATGTGTTATTTTCGCATTACACATAATGAGCACAATAACTAGTCTTACTGTCGACTTGTCATTTATGTTGAAAGGAAGAGACATTAGTAAGAAATTGTAGTTTCTTGACGTAGCTTGCACATCTTATAAAATATTAAAACAGTCTCGGACGTTGAAACTTCATGCTCCCTTTTCATTTCCTTATTAATTTCTCTCTTATGTATTATATTAAAATCTGTGCACTAATCCTCTCATGCACAATATCAATTTTTGTAAACGTGATTCCTTTAATAATCATAATTAAATAGAAAATATTATTACAATTTTCCCTATCCCCCCCAAAATTGTAAGCTTCTTATTATAAAAAGAATGAAATTTTTAATCCAAAATTGTTCAATTTAAAATTAAATTTTTGAAACAAATAATTAACAAGAGTACTCCATGAATTATAATTTCCGATTAATTTGCGCATGAAAGAATTAATTTTTGTAATTATTCGCGAATTCGCGAATACGACATAGAAGGACGGACGCATTATCTTAACGAGTCCAATTTGTATTTGTTAATTACATAAGAAAGAACATAACCGTTCATGTCATTACTTTAGTACCTTCAACGCTTTAATTCGAATAGTTTGTAGATTTCTATAATCGACTATATATATTCTATAATCGACTATATACTCATCCTGTACTTTTACATAACTTAAACAAACTATACGTTTTGTTATCTTGTCCTGCAGAAAAAAAACTTATGTGTATATATTTTGTGTAAAATTAATCTAATGATATAATTATTGATTATTAATTATTGATTATTAATAATGTTCCTATTGGATCTCTATATTAGATCTCTATATCTTTATACAGAATGAGTTATGTAAGCGAGATAAGTTTTAGCTCTTATTTCATTGAAGAAATAAAAAAGTTGAATGATAAAAAATTGAATGATATAATACAATCTATTTATGTTTTTCATAAGTATGCATTGGCAAAATGCAATTACATTTTTTAAAGGGAATTGTATTTTAATATTAATAAATTGTTACACAATATTTTATGAACAAAAATATTAAGATAAGATTATATAAAATTAATAGTTTACGAAATACTTTATTCTAATATCTTTTGATATTAAAATATAAAACAAATTTGAAATAAAAAACTAAACGGTTACAAATAAAATTGACAAGCAGTTTAATAATATTGACTCATATATAGGCATCTTAGAATATTAATAATATGATGCTCATTGGCATTAAAAACCTGTAAATAATTTTATTGCGAAAAATATTACTTCGGCTGGGAATCGAATGGTAATATTACTGCTCTAATTTTGTTAGGATATTGCGCTTCAAAACTTAAAAATTAGATTCGGTACGCAACGTGTAGGATTGGATACAAGTATATAAATTCATATAGAATTATTTAAGCACTAAAGATCTTAACTACTTAGGATCTTTATTTCAAATTTGTTGTGTATTCATATTACTGTCTTAAAAGATACTGTATTTAGTATTGTTAAAATATAAAATATCCTATAAAATATTCATTTTTTCATTATTTCATCTTAATACAGGATACCATTTGAAGCTTCGGACGCTGTTTCCCAAATTATTTGGTATTCCAAAAAAATATTTCAAGTGAAATTTATTTTGTTTCGAGGAAAGCACCCTGTATATTTATACATACATAATAATAAAATAAATTGAAACAATTATATTTTCTTTATGTCAATTTTATCATCTGCAATTAACAAGAACTGCAAGCCATCATGATTACATAGCCATCATCCTGTATAAAAATCTAATAAAAGATTAGGTTATTTAAGAAGAAATATATTAAAAAATTTTTGCAATGCGATCACACATTTAGTAATTAATGAAAAAAAAAAAGAAATCTTCGTATATTTCTAATAAATAGTATATAAATAGAAAATAGAATATATAATTATATATAGAATATATAATCATATATAACTTCAATTTATGAAAATCAAAACTATATGTCGTATTAAGATAAATACGTGTTTTCTTTAAAATTTGTATAAACATAAAATTTGTACAAACAATCGTATAATCATACCATTTCGATTGCGTGAAAGCTCATGTTCCACATGTTTTAAACAACAAGCAAAGTTTTAACACACATTTAACGATAATAAGATACTAATCTTACATAATTCGCAATTATATATTAATTACTACCATCATTTCTTATCTTGTTTTCCATCTCAATTTCGCATTATTTATTCGGACGATTTTTACTTTCGCAATTATAATACGTGTTTTGAATCTAAATCTATAATAATATTCTCTCTAAAATTATGCTCTATCGGCAATTATAGTTATATCGCAATAGAATTTTAAATATTTAGAGAAAATAAAAGCTTCTCCTCTCCAGTATACAATAATGATCACGTTCGAAGACTTGCTTCAAAATCGCATTTCTCTTACGTAGTAATTGGATAATAATCAATAATCAATAAATAATAGAGATGAAGAACATTGTTTCCAATTTGTAGGAAAATGATAATCGTACGCTAGAAGAATCATGCGTTTATTTAAATACCGTGATACATAATGTTGTTCACATAATTAGTAGGCTGGAGAGGAATCAAAATGCACAGCGATATTGCATTTCTATAATTTCAATGTTGCTGCGTCGGCTAAGCGCTTCGAACATGATCCCAATTGACAAAATTCTGTCGCATCTAAAGAATGATTAAACATTTAATTATGGATAGGAAAAATTTGTATCTTGACCCATTTATACCCATCATTGCGAAATTCTACACTGCTCGCACTTAACGATATCCAGACGATCCTTACGTCGAAATAAATCGTTTTGATTTTCTCGTAGAGCAAAGTGTAGATATAGAGGCGGTAGTAAGAATAGTATTTGCAAAAATTGGGAAGATACTCGAAAGGAGGTATTTTCTGGGTATATACAGATTAAGGACATTCAATTTCACACTCGTGAAAACTCACGGCAAAACATCGCAAAGCCAACATTCGATAACGTTTATATTCATAACATTAAACGTAATCATATAAAATCTGAAATATCAATAACGTAATGCTTCCCAGTCAATGTAGTTATACATAGATAAACGTCGACACAATAGGTCGAGTCGATTCTTAAACTATTTTGGCACTAGAATCCACGTGATCGTTAGGTTTTAAGCGTCGATTCGACATCCTGAAATGTCTATGAAGCTAATAAAAAATCTTTAACATATCGTGCGCGCTT